GATCAAGAAATTCTGGTGCCAGAATGCACACCTGAGCAATTCCATTCTTCATATTTTGTGCATGCTTTCTTGATTCTGGTTCTTAACCTAGACAGTGGAAGAGGCTCCCCAGGAAAGTGGTCACAACACAAAGCCTGCCAGAATTCAAAAAGTGTTTGAACATCACATTCAGGCATGTGGTGTGATTCTTGGGGTTGTCCTGTGCAGGGATAAGAGTTGGATTTTGATGATCTTTGTAGGTCCTTTCCAACTCAGGACATTCTATAATCCTATGATTCTATGACTCGTGTAGGTGAAGATAGGACCTTTCCATAAGCATCAGAGTATGTCTCCCTCTTCTGCATCCTCCCTCTGAAATGATAATCTTCTCTCTGGACATGGTATGGCTGTTTGAGGGAAATCTCTTTGTATTTTTTCCCCTGTTTGATCTGGCTCCCACTACAGCAGAGTTAAGTGGAAACAATTCCCATCTCTCTAAAACTCCGTGCTCTGCTACATGGCTCGTGCAAGAAGGGGTTTTCTGACTTCAGAAACATGCATTACAAACATGTAGGATTTTTTCCTATACTTCCCACATTTTTTTTTAATATGAGACATAGGATGTAAGGCCAAAATAGAGCCAATTCCCTTGCTATGCATTCCTTTCCCAGTCCTTGTTCTTGCAAGCCAAGAAATGTCTCCTGGATATCAGTAGCAGTGGGCAAGGAGGACAGATCCCCTGCCAGCCTTCCCCTCTTCAGGCTGAGCCAATCCCACTCTTTCATTCCCCCAAATTATTGGTTTTCTTTTAGTAAACATCACTGTGGGTTGGTGGCTGGTCAAAGTCTGGCATGGTCACTCTATTGGTGTTATAAATCACTTCTGTGGGTAGCTGCAGGGATCACAGTAAATGATTATGATGCTGGATGCTGGATGCTGCTTTAACACATTGACTTCAGTAGGACAGTAATACTGCAAATGAAGACAGACTTCAAACAGAAGTCTGGAAAAGTGAGACTGTGCACAGCATTTTTTTATAAAAATTGAACCTCAATAGCTTTAAATAACTTGTCTGAGGTCAAAATTAACAGAATTTGGAAATAAGGCTAGTGAAATGTCAACCCTAATTAGAGGTTGTCATTAAAACAACAGCACCACAGATGAAAAATAAGTATTGAAAAAGTTCAGTGATAAATGCTACCCAGGAGAAGCATATTTGGATACTATGATGTTTTGATGATACCATTTAGAGACAAATCTTGGAGAACAGCTGCTTTCAGAATAATTTTCTTGAAAATTAAGATAGTTTTATGCAAGTATTACTAATGCCACAACAAAAGATAACACAGAAGATAAAGGGGCTTCTTGCTATGACTAATTTACATACTAAGTGATAAAACTAATTTCTAAGTTTCCATTTTTCTATTATTAATAAAATTAATATAGAAATATTCAGTGAGCAAGGACACAGTCACATTAGTTTAAAAGCACTTTATTTTACCTCACAATTCAGAGCAGGCTAAGCAATTAAATTAACAAAATATAAAAAATCTCAAATGGCACTTTGTGTTGTTCTGTAAATGTATGCTTTTATAGTTTATTTTCAGGTTATTTGGAAGAAGAGTCATTGCTAAATTAATTGAATTACATGCTCTTGAATTCTGTGGCATATTCTTATCCTGATTTGTAATAGCAGATTTGTGTATATAGCTGAGGAATACTTTTGTGAAAACTGAACCTGAAATATCTACTTTGGTACCCTGGAGTAGCTGATAACCAAACTGTTTCCTCAAGCATCACATCTTCCTGAAAACTTTTCATGCACTGACAGGTTCTTCCATTCATTTCAACATTAATCTTCTTTCTCAAAGAGATGAGTAGAGATGAACATAGTCTTGGCAGTCCTTCGAGTGCTGACATTCTTGCTTATTTCTAACAAATACAGGTAAGCCCTTGTTCACCAATGTCAGTATTACAGATACATCAACCCAGAGGCTTCCCTCGTTAAAATATTTTTTATATATATTAATGGAGAATAGAGGTGGTCTGTAGAAATAAATTTTGCCTCTGGATTGCATCAAAATATGGTGTAAGATCAAAGTCAAATCAGAGCTAAGCTGAGAATCAGACTGAAATTTCGAGGCTCACATGAAGTTTGAACCTCATGTGGAAAGAAATCCATTCCTCTGGTATTCAAGGATTTTTATTTTCAAGATTATTTCTTTTACCTCTAAATTAAGTTAAAATAAAAACATTCAAAGCATATTTAGATGGTTTTTGATTGAATTTGTTTATCCTCATTTGAAAGGTGTAAATCTACTTTTAGCTTTAACTTGTTTCTTTGATATTTACTTATTGAGGGGCATTTATGCCTATAAGTATAAAATACAGTACTTACTTTTCATATTGATCCCAAAATTGTTCCTGTATAAATGAGAATTGGCTCACTCTGGCAGCCTAATCTTAGAAACATTTTAAAATAAGTAGTATTGAAAAGGAAGAGAAAGAGTGAGAACAAGAACTGGTATAAAAAGAAACATCTGGAGAGAGATTTTATTTCCCTTGTAACCCAACCAGACCCAGGTTTACACAACTTTCCAATTAGCTATAACAAACCATGGGAAAAAATCAGGTTTTCAAGCTCACTGGAAAAATTTGGTCATTCAGGCATCCTTAGCCACATACTTTGGAACACATCTACAAACTCTGAGGGTAATTGGGTGTGAAAAGGTCCATCTGTCTGGACCTTGGGTCACTTTGGGATGTCACACTGTAGCCCAGAGCTGGAGCACTGGATTAGTGAACACTGGCAGTTGTTACTTGACAATGAGGGTTGTATGATCTGGGGCTGGGCAGAGGGGACCAACAAACCAGCCACGTGTTGGTGTTAGATTATGTAAAGGAAACTCTAACTGCCAGTAGCCACAATATATTCCTCTTTCCATTTGATGCAATGGCTTTGCTAAAGTGTTTTTGAGGGTAAAATGATTTAATAGTACAGACATGGGCTATTCTGTCCTACAGAAAGGTCCCACACTTGTTTAATTTCCTAACTAATTAACAATGTAGCCACAAGATGTGCTTCTCTTCCTCCCCATCCACAGCTACCTAGCTGGATAGTTATTTCACTTTTCTTTTAACCCTTTCCCCTCATTCAAAATCTCTTTCAAAAGTTGTCAAAATGCGCCTTACCTGTTTAAAACGGTCTTTATACTGTGATGAGTTTTCTTAAAACAGTAGAATGAATGTGAACTGGAATGTAAGGAAATTAGCCCAATTGCTATTGTCACAAGTGGTGTCATTTGAGATACTGAGCAAATTAATCAGATTATGGGTATAATGGCATGGAACAAGATAAATCTGAAAATAGGTAATATTCTTTATTTCACTTGAACAAAATACATTATAATATTGGTATGCATTGACAGCATTAATAATACATGTGCTATTAATAATAGATGAGATTTGCATTGTCATATTAAGTAATCCCTAATGCTTTTAATGGTCTTTTTATTCTCATTTGTTGTTTTCTGGACTTAAAAAATATAACATAAGTCTAAATCAACTACAAAAAATATTTTAAAATTTTGTAACTGTTTAAAAGGCTCTACTAGGGAGTTTCATGGAATAAACATTCCAATGGTCTCCAAAAGAGAAGTAATAGGACTTCATTGATCTAAATTCTTATGCTTTTAAATTATTTAGGAACAAACTTACATTGCTGGTGAAAGATAATCTAATACTATGGTCTTAGTTGTGACTTACAGACCACCTCTGTTAAAATGCATATATTTTTCCAAGTCTGAATTTCTCCACCCCAAACTTTCAGTGAGAAGAGTTTGTTTTGCTTATTTTGTGTATATTCCATGCAATAAATTTGAAATATTTAAGTAATTAATGGAAAATGAACTTATATCTCCTTTGGTGTTTGAGATGTAAATCCAGATACTAAAATCCAGTTGTGTGGATTCCTATTGACACCAATGAGACCTACAACTGCACCCAGGAGAGTTGAACTGGACCTTTGTGACACAAGAAGAGAAATTGTATTTACAGCTAGATTAATTCATGGGATCAGAATAGTTTGGGTTGGAAAGGACCTAAAAGATCATCTTGTTCCAACCCCCATGCCATGGGCAGGGACACCTTCCACTAGACCAGGTTGCTCCAAGCCCCACCCAGCTTGGCCTTGAGCACTTCCAGGGATGGGGCATACACAGCTTCTCTGGGCAACCTGTTCCAGTGCCACCACCCTCTCAGTAAAGAATTTCCTCCTAATATTTGATTTAAATCTTTCCACTTTTAGCTTAAAACCACTCCCCCTTGTCCTGTCACTATCTACCCATGTAAAAATTTGCTCTCCCTCTTTATTATAAGCCTCCCTCACTGAGATGCAGAGTATAACCTGCACACCATTCTCTGCCATCCATGTGGTTATGAGGCACTCAGCTGTCCTTTGCATTTCTGATTTCTTATCCTTGAGTTTTCGCTTGCACAAAGGAAAGAAGCAAGGCAGCTTTTGTGTTATGATTGTATTTTACAAGTGATGCAAATCAACTGTAGCATAGTGTTTAATACTCTAAAGTGTGCTGTGATGACATCCAGCAATACTGACTCCCAACTACCTTGACATTAATCAAGTGTGTCTGAGCCAGACCACTGATTAGTATGGGAAATAGTAAATAATAATAAATACAATAAAAAAGCATGTTTGGGCTTGGCTCAGACACACAGCAAGAATATGACACTAATTACTCATCAGCACTTTCACCTGCAACTTTATGCAAAAGGATTTGTGTTTTATTGGTGTAGTGGGTCTTCCAGGAAAGGAGAGAGGCACCTTGACACCCAGTGCAGGGGCGAGTCAGAGCTGGCCCCATCATGCAGCCGCCACTCAACGCAGAAAAGGAGGATTTCATTTTCTAGTGCCTGTCAACCCATCACAAACACAGATAGTGCCTTTAAGGATAAAAACACTAAGGTAATCCGGAAGCTTCAAATGATAACTTTACTGAGATTAAGAATGGATATAAAACATAACCTTTATAAAAGGTTATCTTTTCATGTTAATTTTGGAGAAGGAAACTTACAAATTGTAAGCAATAGTGGAGCTGAAGATAGCAATATTTCAATAAGAAAAATAATTATTAAAATTTTAAAATACACTGTCAAGTTTCATATCCCTTCCCCTTTTACCTTATTTCAAAATGGCATGCATGACATTTAAAAAGTGGTTAATATTTACGTAGTCTTGGCAAAACTGGATCGCAGCATGTTGATAACCAGAATGTATGAGCATCATTTATTCACTTGAATCAGTTTTTTTCCAAATCACTCTTACCAGACTGTGAATTCCTAAGGACAGGGGCTGTGGTTCCAGCTCCTCATTTACTTCTGCAAAACATAGAATAATATAGTCCACACACACACAGTTCTACTACATTTCCCTTCTATTTTCCCTTTTCAGAGGGCCACCAAGGTTTTCCTTTTCACTTGCTCTGGCTGAGCATGTGTTAGTTCCCTGGAGTTTAGAAAGTGAGTTCTGGTTTGCACCAGAGTTAGACAAAAGCCAGGCTCATTAATTCCTATAAATTGCTTGAGTGAATCATTTGTCATACACTAAGACAGTTCCTTGCATTGCTGTAAGACACATTTTAAATGTCTCATGTAACATTTTATTTTTGTGTGAAATATTAAATTTCAGGAGATATACAGGATCAAATTATAACCTGCTCAAATTTAACTTAATTTGCCAAAAACTGACCAAATTTTAATTTACTTTTGATCTTCAAATGCTAAAAGATGTTGGTGTGCTTATACAGACTCACATCATGGAAAAAATATATATCAAACTGTGTAAGTAAATTATCTGTTTATTCTTGCATTTTAAGATACATTGAATCACAAAGTAGTTTTTAAAAATCTGGGGTCTTTTTTTCCAGAAAATACTGGTTTATTGGAACTGAAGCTTTTTTTCACCAGTACATGGTCTTTCTCAGTCCTTTGATTGGGAAAATTTTCACAAAAAAAAAAAATTGAATTACATAGTTCACAGTATAAAAACCTATCCATCACTTAAATTTTGATTTATTTGAAAACTTTCTGGAACTGTTAGAAAATCTGCCTAGATTCCCTTAGGTCAACTAATGTTACATCTACATGAAAGAGGATTTTTTCCCTATACCAAAGAATGAAAATAACCTTGATTTAATCACAGTGCTGAACAGGATTATTTTTTGAAATGCCAATATTTTACCAGACTATCTTCCACTGAGGCAAATAAGCAACATGGAAAGTTTTTAAGAGGAAATTAATGGTACTATGAAAATACACATATCAGTATGGAGAACGTATATTAGGGCAGGATAAGTTTCTCATTCCCTTCACCCATGCAGTGTGTTTATTGTCCCTGGAGGATAGGAAGTTAATCTCTTGTTGACCCCAGAGATTTTTCCCTTATAATGAAAGTATAAAATGTATCATGGGAACAAAAGTCCTAGACTTGAGAGTCTACATTTTACACAGTAAAATGGAGAATATTGTATACTTGCAGCTTGAGTCAAACAAATAGGGATCAGGGTTTTCCCTGTATCTTTGCATCAGAGAAGATTTCCACCAGTGCAACATGGAAATTGCTTGCACTAGGAATGTGCTTCAGCCTCAGAATTTCAGTACCCATGACATATGGTAATGTTTGTAGAACATCAACCAAAAAATTTTATTTTCTATTTTTAGGATTTCAAAATTCAAGTGATTATAGTAGACAGACAACTGAATGATTATTTGACCAACTTTTTGTGCACCTGTTCTGCCTCACTTTACAAATTAAACGTATAGCTAAATCAAATGAGAAAATATGGGCTCAATTTTCATCATAACAGCATCAGTATTTATCTTTTCTGTGCATTTTATTTACTGAACTTGGTGAAGAATTACCATGTCATGGTTATTAGGCCACACATATTATTCCCCAGCCCCAGGGCACTGTTTGATTTGTTTGCACAGATGTAATTTCTATGTCCCTAGAATTCTCAGGATCTCTGTTGATGGTGAAAACCAAACCTCAGTGGATGAGTGTTCCATGCCAATGGGTGGTCTTTGACAGTCAGTACTGCTTTTCTTTGGAACGATTCTCCTCCAAAACTCTGAAGGGAAACAAGAGAAAACAATTTGAGCAGAAACCAGGAGAGGAAACAGTCAGAAGTCTTCTGCCACCTACACAATGGCAACATTGTTACAACTTTCTCATGACTCACCGATGATTGACACTTCTTATCTTATATTCTAGGATTCCTTTTTAGATGGAAATGCATGTCACAGAAGTTCTTGGAAACAGAGGCACAACAGAAGTGCTGTTTTTATGTTGCTGTCCCTTAAGGACATCACTCAATGCCCACTTGATTACATTACACAGCACATTAGCATGGAGTGTCCTTTCTTTCAGATGAATTAGTATTTTTGTCATTTACACATAATTGCATAGAAACACGTTCTTAACTTCAAAAGGAAACAAAAATCATCTATCTACCTAGAACATTTATTACTACTTTGCACCCTCTTCACAAATTATCTGATCAAAAAAACAGGTTATGATAGATATGCCTTTCACCTTTTTGTCCAAGCAATGTTCATTCATCCCTTTGCAATCTTCTATCAGTCCCAAGGGTGCAGGACAAGAAAATGAAGAATAGCAGCATGAATCACAGTGAATGTAATCTGAAAAAGACAGCAGTGCATGTTTAGGAATTTTCTTTTTGTTTCAAGTATCTGAACTTTATTTATCCACAAATACAAGATGATAGACTTCACACTTTCTTTCAAGGTCTTTTCCAAGGACAAAAGTAAGGGTTTGTGCCTTTAGAAAGAGGTTTGTAGTGATACTCCCTCCTATTTCTCATGGCTTTTCAGAGAATTTAATTTTTAAACCTGCCCAGCCAGGAACTGCTGTGCTGTACATTCACTGCCTAGACATTCTGCTTCTTTTTTGCATTTGATGCATCAGAACTCTTCTAGGAAGAGTGAGTTGCCACATTACAATTTCTATGTTATTCATTTGGAGGTTTTTCCCTACTCAATTTTAAATCACTCTTCTAGAATATTATTTTAGAAATAAAAGTAGGTTTGTGTGTTTGAAACCAGAGCAATCAGAACTTAAGACTTACTAATTTCTTAGAAGGAAAGATTATAAATTATCTAGTCAAGAATCTGTTTTTGAAATAATTCTTTTAATACTCATCTTGTTTGGTACCAAATTCATGATAAAAAGGGATCATGCAAAATGAGAGGGCTTAATTTTTGCAGCTTAGTGAAAGTGCATAATGTGTAGACAGAAATTTCATGATTAGAGAATGAATCATTTTCCATCTCAGACATTTCCCATCCTTAAAAATAATCCATTGACCTATTTGCTATAAACCTCATCTCTAACAATTTCAAATTCTTTTAGCATTGTATCCACTGCCTTTCTCTACAGAACCTCTATGGCTCTTTTCTCTCTGACCCATTTTTCTCTTTATCTAATGTAGTAAATAAATAAATAGTAAATAAGAACAGTAGATTTTATTTTCTTGTTGCCTCTTTTGCTCCTTACTTCCATGTTGTGCTCTGTTCCTGGCAACAATGATCAATGGTAACTAAACAGGCTCTCCATTCAAACCCTAGCAATAAAGTTTTGTCTGCCAAACCCTAATTCATATAAATATCACCTCATCAATTACAAAGTTTTCAACTAAACCCCATAAATCTTCTTTGAGAAGTTATCTACTCCTTGATGTAGGTAATGAATCTATACACGTGCCTATCATGTTATGCAGCTCACTGCCATTCCCTAAGAAATCCAAGCAAGGTATAACGTGTATGAGTGAGACACTATATTCATCTCAGCTGGCTGTAGGTACTTTGAGTAGTTTAGTTAGGAGTTTGGATGCCTTATGTATATCCTGAAGTCAACAGGGAAAGATGGACATCACTGGAAACAAATTAACTCAACTACAACTTGAATTGTCCTCTGGAGACTCATTCCTTATTCAATGTCTAAATAAGGTGGTGTCTAAATAAGATGAGTCTGTGAGACTGTCTGATGTCCTGATTGGCAAGGTTATTGAGGAAATAAATAAATGAAAGACTAGAGTCCCTCTATCTCAGTTTTTGAATCGCTCCACTCTTTCTGAATGGGATGAGCAAACCCTCTGAGTCAGTCTTTGGGCCTCAGTGGAAACCCTTTTGACTAACTAAGCAAGATGCACTGTTTAACAAAAGGAAAAAAGATTAGCAAGAAATTAGCAGCTAATTCTTGTGAAAAATAACCTGCAAAGACATAAAAATCACTGAACTACTTATATAAATAATAGAGCTACATGATTGCACTGTTGGACTAATGATTTCAGGTAGACAAATAATTTTTGTACCTAGAAAATTCAATGAAGGGATGATATAACTAACATATTTTGCACTCAAAATAAATTATATTTAATTGAAATGTTTCACCAGACTTTGTCAGCTGCAGTCTATCCCAAACTAGACACAAAACATACCAGTCATCTCCCACTTATGTTAGAGCTACTTAAAGTTTTGCACATATACAGAATCGCAGAACTCTAAGCAAGTCCTGTTTCCTACTCAGGGCTGATTCAGAACTGGATGTTCTTCTGCTCTGCTGTAGTGCAGCAGACATGACTATGTCTTGTTTAGGGCATATTTAACACATATGCACAATATTTAGGTTCTCAAAAATGAATGTATGACTACTTGAGCAAACAAAATCCAAAGAAAAAGCTAAAGCTGGTATTTTTTTGAAATAACTTCATTGTATTTGCAGAACTCATGCAAGACAAGATCAGCTGCCACCTCATCCTAGATATCTGACCCTCTCACACAGCTCAGGCTCTGCTCATTCCTGAAGTCAAGAATGTGACACTATGCAGAAAAGCCTGGACCGAAAGAAGTGCTTGTAAGCAGCAATATCATAGCACTCGACACAGAGTGTGATTTGGCTCTGAACCCAAATTAGGATACATTTCTCAAGTGAGTTCCTAATTTCCCAGCTGAGACAAGTTTTTCGATTGTTGGTTTTTTTCTGCTCTGTTAAAGTGCAATTAGTTTAATTTAAAATCACAGTGGTTTCAGCAGAGAAGCAGCACCAATTCTTGTCATTCCCAACAGAGTTTGTTCTGCAAACATGTATTTGTTCTAGTGGTGGAAAATCAAATAGATTTCAGCCACAGAAGAGTGAAAAAGGAGACAGTCAGCTATCAGTGACTCCTGAGAGTCAGGAGGACTCATCTCTGCTGCTATTGCCGAGCCAATGCTGGTGTGTGGCAGCAGGAATACTTTTCCTCCTCTGCTCTACTTCAAGTTAAACAGATTAGTATAAACTGGCTATTTGACCCATAATGACATAACCCAGATGTTCAGCATTGACTCCAGCTGTATCCAGTTGTAGTTTCAACACCCTGCCTACAAAGGGACACCATTTTACAAGCTTAGGATGCTGTTTGTGCAAGGACATGAGAGGCTGTATCATCCTGCCTGGAGCCAGGGAAATGTACAGTCCAAGTGTCTCTGGGGGCTATTGGCTGATAGCTAAGAGCTAGAAGGTTGTGCTGTGTGCTCAAAAAATATAAATATAGTTTATACATTCATCAATAAAAAGATAAATTGTCCCAAGACCACAAAAGTCTGTGTTGGTTTTATCCCAAACATCACTGGCTTTTGCAAAGGCACTTATAAAATCCAATGAGGGTGATGATATGATCGAACTCAGACCAGAGAGTTTAATGGATGGAGTTGTGGTTTGGAACTAAAGCTTCACTTATGTGGAAGAGCTGAGCACACCTGAAAGCAATTAATTCTTCTGAACCAACTTTAATTTAATGTCAAAATAAACATGTACCTTGGTATTTACTATGACAACAGCTAAGCAGGTCCTCAGTGGTGAGATAGCATTTCCTGGCATCATAAAATGAAGTTTAATGATTCTCAGCACTTTCAAGAAGTTGACTGGATCAGTTAAAAAAATGAATCTATTTGCAATACATATAACAATGAGATTTAAAAAATTATCCTTGTATCTTTATGAGCCATGTATAATAAAGTAGAGGAGGGGGGAGGAATTCAAGGCTTTTCCTTGCTGGCACAGAAAGGAAGAGAGTGACCAGAAGCTTATTCTCTCTCCTCACAAATTCATTAATCCTCATTTGTAACTTCCTGTATGAGAAGGAAGATACATTTTTTTGGTGATGGAAAACTACTATCTTTACCATGTTCCTGTGTATGAAGTGCTATGCTGCAGCTCACAGAAAAACTTCAATTCAAACATAATCCCTGTTGGAGTGGGTCCAGAGAAGGCCATGAAGATGATCAGAAGGCTGGAACACCTCTCCTAGCAAAACAGGCTGAGAGAGCTGGGATGGTTCAGCATGAAGAGGTGTCTATAGGGACACTTTATTGCGTCCTTTCAATATGCAAAGGAGGCTTATAAGAAATACAGAGAGAGACTTTTTATCAGGGCCTTTAGTGACAGGACAAGAGGAAACATTTTTAAACTGAAAGAAGTTAGATTTAGATTGGACATAAGGAAGATTTTTTTTTTTATGATGGAGGTGTTGAAGCACTGGAACAGGTTGTCCAGAGAAGTTATGGATGCCCCATCCCTGGAAGTGTTCAAGGCCAGGCTGGATGGAGCCCTGAGCAACCTGATCAACTGAAAGATGTCCCATGGCAGGGGTGTTGGACTGGATGATCTTTAAAGGTCCTTTTTAATGCAGACCATTCTGTGATTCTATGAAAGATCACTAGTGTTTATGAAAGCTATACTTCTGGCTTTAGTACACTTGGAGTGAAGCCTGTATGTCCACTCTGCATAATGACCTGGAAAACTGCCACTACCCTCCTGGAGGGACAGGGATTTGCTACACTCCCTCACACACTGCCCTCTGTACCCCCTATAGGGCGGGCATCTCAACTAACAGGGAGAAGATACACTTTTAGCGGATAGAGTTTGTTCTCTACCCCTCGTGGTAAAACCACACCTTGTAGAGTGAAGATACTGAGGAAGGGCAACAAATACTTCCAGCACATCCAAGGACCTGGTGCTTCACCTCTATCCTAGAGATATTTCTTCAAAGTCCATAAGCAGCATCCATCAAAATATTTTTGACATTTGCAGAGGGACAAAGTCACTGTTAGGTGCCAAATGTGACAGTGGGTTTTGGGTCTTTTTGCTGAGTGCTTCTTCCTTCTTCTTTCAATTTATGTCTCTAATGAATTCCCAACTGTAACAGTTCAAAACTTTCTCTGATGACTTACACCTGGTTGGAATTTGACCTGTAATAACAACTTGTTTTTCAGGCAGTGAAATGTGTAGCTCTCTGGACAACTGAATAAAAAATCCTGTATGTACAGCCTGGCAGTAGGGGTGTAATGACCCCCTCCCAGATCCAGCAGCTGTCACTAAGAAAGAGATGCAGCTATCTCCCTCAGAGCACTTCTTTCAGATTTACCGGGATAAATATGCCAAGGAGCAGCAGTCATTGTATATACAAATTTTTTTGCATTTACAAAGGTATTTCGGTTACATTAACTAAATTAGAAAGTTTCCCTGCAGTCAGCTGAGGAAAGTGAGGCATTCCTGCCCTGATTCCGTTTTCAGACCAGTAAAAAAGGAGTAATGTAATTCTGCTTCTCTTTTTGGCACCAGAAGAATAGTGATAAAAAGG